TTGGATCTGAGCTCACACTACTTAAGGATTCCGAGTCACAGTAAGCCTGAAAGCCCCCTTGTCAGCACAGTTCACTCTCCAGCAGCCACAGGGAGCAGGCATTAGCGATGCAGTCTCATCCTCCCTGCAGTCCCTGCCGGGAACCCCCCCCCTCACCAGGGCCAGTGATTCAGCTGCAGGTCAGACCCAGTCTCCCCAGCTAAAAGCCTGCCCCCTGCCCACCCACCCCCAATTACCTTGACTGCACAGCAGGCCGGCACACCAGAGCACAGCAAGGAACGTGGGGTATGCATCCACGCAGTTCTGGCTGTAGAATCAGGGCATGCAGGGGAGACAAGAAAACTTGTTAGACAACATAACTAGAACATGAGCTGCGGCACTGCATGAAGCATTGCCTCCGTGCAGACCCATTTCCAGTGGGGCTGCGGTTAGCCAGCTCTGCATCCTGATTCATCAGAAAGATCTCCAGGGAAGAGGGTCCCCTGTGCATTGGAGCCTCTTGAAGCACAGCGACAAGCGGTGCTCACACAACCCTACAGAGGCCTGAACACTTGCAGCCGGACATTAGAAGGCAGGGCTGAGGCCAGCTCCCTGATGGGTGCTGGCCATTGTTTTGCATCTGTTAACAGTGTTCCCACTTGCTTAGGAAGGAGCCGCCCCCGGGGTGGTGCAAACAGTGATGCAGCTGACTCCTAACCAAAAGGTTGGTGGTTCGAATCCACACAGGGGGTATCTGAGAAGAAATGCGGGGGGAAGCTACTCTTGGTAGGTGACGGCCATTAGAAACCCTATTGGATAGCTGAGACGGGGGGCCGCCATGGAATGGAATCAACTGGAGAGCAACTGGTCTGGTCTTTTGGGGTTGCTTCTTTGGGAGAGACCTGTCCCTGGAGAAGGACATTGTGCTTGGTAGAGTGGAGGGGCAGTCAAAAAAGCGGAAGGCTCTCTGGGAGGCTGGTTGCCACAGTGGTTGCCACAATGGGCTCAAACATAGGAACAACTGTGAGGAGGGCGCAGGACCGGGCAGCGTTTCATTCTGTCGTGCACAGGGTCGCGATGGGCTGAAGCCAACTCAATAGTACCTAACAGCAACAACTCGGGAATTTATAGTGTCCCGTGTATTACAAGAATAGAACTTCCCCACAAGGTCTTGGCAGCCATTCGAACGGGAAGGAGCTATACTGGCACAATGCCCCATGCTCAACACCTAACCAAAAGATCAGCAGTTCAAACCCAGCGTGGAGCAGCAGCTCCACGGGAGAAAGACGTGGCAGTCAGTCTGCTTCTACAAAGACTTACAGCCTTGGGAACCCCGGCAGCAGATCCACAGCTATGAGTTTGGCATTCTTTTTCAGAAACTGAACAGAAGCACATCGCTTTTATTGTGCAGCACCTCTGAGTGGTTTGGAACCACCCGGAACTTTCGGTTAGCAGTCAAGCACAAATCACTCGCTCCACTTTGGTCGCCATGAGTCAGATCCAATGGCAACTAAGCCTACCACCATGCAGGAATGGCCATGAGGGTGAGAGAGGATATAGCTATTAAGGTGCTTTGCAAAATTCCGAGCATTCATCAAATCCTAAATAAATGAACCAAGCATTGCGAAGGTGCTGGGACTTGCCTCGGCCACTTTAGAGTTTCGAGCCTCCAGCGCTCACGACCACCGGGTTCTAAGTCAATCACCGCCACTATTCAGCGGATGGCCAGTGACGTCAACCTGCCAGGAATGGCCAATCCTCCCTAGACGCTCTGTGCGCAGCAGAGAACCTGGTATGGAATCGGCATGCAGTAAATACTTGTCTAATGACTGAATAGCAGGACGCAGTCAAAGGAAGCAAATCTGAGACTCTGAAGCCAGGTCTGTCTGACTTCCAAACCTCGTGAAAAGTACTCTCTGAGCTTCCACTGTGAGGCAGAACCATGTGGAAGCGTTCTTGTTGTGGGTTGCAAACAGCTAGTGGCAGTTTCACACGGTTCAATCTGGCAGATGCCACGCCCTGTGTGAGAGGTACGTTATCTCATGTGATGGTCGAGGAAGCACGCCTAGGTAGATGTAGTCCTTGTCCATTGCTGGCTAGTCGATTCTGACTCGTGGTGACGCCATGTGGTGAGTAGAACTGCCTCTCTAGGGTGGGCTAAGCTGTCATCTCACAGGAGCAGACCCTCAGGTATCTCTCCCTGGGTGGGTTTGAACCACCAACCAAGTGCTTAAGTATTGAACCACCTGGTGTCCTGGAGAGCATGTCTAAATTCATCGACCTCGGGTACCATCAAAGAAATAAGAGGAACCATCACTCCTGGAACCAGTGCGGTTTGAATTGATTGTTCAAGTCACGCCGAGCATGTGGCTTGTGTAAATCAGCACTGGGAAGGAAAATGGACTGGGGGGCTTCCAAAAACTCCCAGCCCACTGCCACCTAACCCATTCCAACCTATCGCAGCCTTGTCAGACAGATTAGAACTGCCCCTGTGTGTTTTTTGAGGTGCTAAATCCTTACCAGAGCAGACAGCCTCATTTTTCTCCCAACGAGGAGCTGGTGGACTTGAACTGCCAACCTTCTGGTTAGTAGCCCAATACCTAACCCACTGCACCACCTTCCAAGATGATGGGGACAAAAAACACTCCCTCTGCTACTCTTTTGCATAGGCAGAAGATGGTTACACTGAACGGTCCCCACAAGTCTGGCTGGGCCTCACACATGCCCCCCTGGGCTATCTGCACCACCGGGCAGTTAGAGACCACAGTGTGGAGCCCATGAGGTGACACACACACACACCCCAGTATTCCCACACCAGCAGACACAGTGCCCATGGCTGTCAGTCCCTTCCAGGGTTCCAGGTCATCGTCAGGAGCCACCAAAATCTGGTTTCTATTTCATGGGAAGGGGCATCTCCCTCCCGCTTATTGAGGCCAACGCTGGGGGGCTGCCAGTAGCCTGGGGAGACTGGGGACCTGGGATCCAACCTGCGGCCTGCAGACACATGCCTGGAAGAAGGCCACCCCTCTAGACACTTATTAGCAACAAACCCGAGTGACAGCAGCCCCAGAAGAGAGCCCTCGGGTGCTGTCATTCAGAATGCC